AAGTATTAGGCTTGGCGCCGCTAATAATATTGGCACCAACAGTTTTCAGTTTCCTTCAAATACTACGAACCTTTGGCTGCAGGATTTCACGCGCGTTATTGTTATGGTATAATGCTTATATACGCCAAATATCACGGTATCTTTTTTTTTAAAAGTTTATAAAAGGGACAGATACCTCCTTTAAGGATGAGTTATAAAACAGTATTCTAGGGGAGAGGGTTTATTTCACGCAGAACCTATTTCAGATTATGTTTCAACACGACGCCAATTCTAGGTGACAGATACGAAAGCGTGCTGCCGACACAAAGTATGTCCTTCGACAACTTCGTTTACATTAATGCTGCACCAGTGGCGTACGCAGGATTTTTTTCAAGGGGGGGGGGGGGGGTTCCAAAAAAACATACATAAAACATACACATAAAAAAAACTCGAGGGGGGTTTAACCCCAAAACCACCCCCTGCGTACGCGCCTGTGCTGCACTGGCGTAGGTGGAATGGCGTAGTGTGAATTTAGCAATTTAGCGGGCAATGCTATCATTGGGGTGGTGTTACAAAGGATTAGTAGGTGGACAGAAATGCGAGAAGACAAAGGCGTCGACTGAAGGGGATGTCGAACGGAATTATGTCATCTTCTTTTCGTGTTATCGTCTCCTTTTCCCATTTTTTCTCTTCAAGCCCCCCCCCCCCCCCCTTCATATTTTGTTAAACAATTCAGTAGGAGATAATATGCCCCCGTCTTTCTGTATCTAAACCACTGTCCATATATAAATGCCGTCACCCCTGATGGTTCCATTAGGCAGGCCAAAAAATAACTGTACCTATAACGACATTTGATTTGGGGTTGCTGTATATTCTCAAAAGATGTAAACATCTGACGAGCCGAAAAAGATTACCTGACAAACAAGCAACCAAACAAACAATGCTTATTCGTTATTTGCTAAAGGGGAATACGTTTTGTGATTGCTGGAGGTGTCTCTTAACATTTTGTATTTGAGAAAAAAACATTCTCTTGCGTCTTTTCATTTAGGAGAGAAAGGGATAGGAGTAGCGATACCCTCAGCATCCATTCTCGTAATTCTGAAGTAAAACCATGGAAATATTGCCTCGCCAAGAAGTAGAATCTCTTTGATTTAGGCAGGACCGAATTTCCCTCGACAAAATCCTGCAAATCTGCGTTAACGTGGTTTGTACCCCCATGTGCGCGATCAAATACGGTCCGGCATGTTTGGCCTAATTCTTTCCTTCCTTCTCTCCTTCCTTCCTTCCTGATCCTCTCATCGTTATTCCCTGGTAAACTAGAGCACTAGCGAGACACTCTTTAAGCCGAAGGGTCAGCTGGAGACGAGGGGTGAGGAGATGACGGAGATGAGAGAGATGCTCGCGGTTGTCCCCGAGGGACGAGATGAGTGACAAACCAAAGTCTCGACCCAAAATAAGGGATCGTGGCCGTGTGCGCTCAGGGTGAGAATTGTCTAGCGTTCAGCACTGCACAAGCTCCTCAATGCTAGTTTTACACGCGGCGTCATTTGGCTGACGCTGGACTACGTCGAGAATTGCAGCGATCTTTAACGCGCCAATTAACAGTCACATCTTTCGAAAGCGGGAGTTAAAAACGAACCCGATGCAAAATAAACTGACCTCATATGCAATGTGCATAACATCCAATTCCAATGTTGTATTCTTTTTTCGCCACATGAATTCATAGACATGGATTTATTGGGAACAGGAAGATGAAAAGCTGGGGTGAAAGTCGGCGCTTGAAAAAGAATAACACCGCCGATAAATAAAGAAGGGGCATCCATCTTGTTGCCCCAACGGCAATTAAGGAATTAAACGTTAATCCTTCTTAATCGCAAAGAGCGCGAGTGATGCGTGCTCTTTGTGTCTCGATAGAGATTAATTGGATACTTCATAGTCATGATAGCTCGGGTATGTTGAATTTTTATTGCCAAAATGAAGTCATGATGCAGGAAAATGGATCGTGTTTTGTAGAGAATGGGAAGACGACGTACAAACTAGAGATGGAAGAGAGTCACAGATCGAAGGGAAAGAGAAAGAGAAAGAGAGAGAGAGAGAGTCAGACAGACACAGAGAGAGAGAGAGAGAGAGAGGGAGAAAGGGAGAGAAAGAGGGAGACAAATATAAAGAGACACACATCGACAAACAGATAGATCGATGGATAGTAGAGGGGAAAGAGACATACAGAGAGACAGAGACAGAGAGACAGACAGAGAGAGAGGGAAAGAGGGAGGGAGTGTAAGAGAGAGAGAGAGAGAAAGAGAGATGGACAAAAGAAGTAATGATGCTATAGGCCATTTTTGTAATGTAACCAAATGTATTGCATACGTCTTTGTGAAGTGCCTCAATACAAATTACTTTATTCACCTGTTAAGAATAATTACATTTTTAATAGGCAGAGTTCGATCTGAATATAGTATGTGTTGTTGAGTAGGGTAATCCATAATATTTGTACCACATAGCAACAAATAATGTATGTCATTCGCATTCTGACTATTGAAATACAATTGTTTGTATTAACAGGTGAATTAAATAATTGTATCTAGGCACTTCACAAAGAAGTATGCATTTATTACATTTAGTTACATTACGAAAATATCCCATTAATCATAATGCGTTTTCAAAGATGCACATACGGCGGTATCAGACACAATCGTCCCGATTCATCTTGAATTACCTAGATAATAGCTATCAAGATAATTCATACCTAGGTGACAGACAGGTGGCAGACAGGCTACAAATTATCTAGGTAACTATTGTCTAGATAATTGGCCCCTGTCTGACACCGCCTATACATCATTAATGTTACATGAGTTCTTAAATTTAAACACAATTCATGGAATGTTGTAAGTTTGTAAGAGAATATATATATATAATTATACATGTATGTTTTTCACGTTGTCCAAAGCTATCCAGGAAAGCGTAAATGACCCACTTTTGAATCTGCACTCGTGTCGAGTTACTCCTTTGATATTTTCATCTTTCGTTGCTACTTTTTCAGTTTTATTGCGCTTTCTTTCAAAAGCAGATACCACGAGGACCAACCTGTAGCCTTCCAACTGTATTGTACATATTGCTGTATATTTGATTCCATGACAGGAACCCAGTTCTAAATAAATTCAAAGGTGGTGTTGAATATTTGGAAAATAAAAATATCCGTCCGAAATGTTATGGAACACAAGTATACTGGATGGTGACAATCTAAATAATTTGTTTGAAAATTGCTTTCATATCTATGATGATATCTTTCATTTTAAAGTTTTTTCAACCATGGTACATGTAATGCGATTACAATTTTGACCAAAACGCTTCTTTTCAAGGCTGAGGCGTAATCGATTTATCCAAATCTTACACAGATAACTTTTATTTAATCGCCTATTTATTAGCCTATATTTAGAGAATTTTAAATACTTTCACGACTTTAACACCTTAAGGCATCGTTCAACAATGTTAAATCTGAGATGCATGACCTTACGTGTTATCAGTGTCAGTGATATGGTGTAATATTGAAGCCCTAAAAAAAATTGCCCTTCAAAATAATCATGAAGTGCCTCAAAAAGTAAATATCTTTAAATGACCGGTTTCACCGTACTCATTTTCATAGACTCATAGACTAAAGTGTTATAAAAAGACGTTAGGAAAACGAAAAATTAAATTTTGATAATCAGACAGACGATCGGCTTGTACAAGTCATATGATTCCTGCCTAACATAAAGGTTTATAATTATGATTGCAGAATGAGCTAAATCCAGGATTTTGTTTCAGAATCTGAGGCAATGTTCCAGAGTCACTTTAAGAAATGGAGACGACACGTTCGGAGAGATGCCGGGTGATGGGCTTAAAGATAAAGACCAGTTATGGTCATGCGATTGCATTGTGAAAGAAACGTTGTGGAATCGATCAGAAAAGGTTGATCATCTAGCATATAAGCATATGGTGTGTACTGCAAGGTTCTGGAATCATCAAAACGATAAGATATTTGGCCCAGTCATGGTAAAGTTACAAGCACTGTCTGTACACAGAAAGATGTATATGGGACTACCCCTACACGTGCGCGACACGTGCGTTATATTTATCAGGTCTAAATAGATATAATAATTTACCAAATATATCAATTACTGGGTGGTTTCTCGGCAAAAATTGTATGATCACTTATAAGTCAAAGCATATTCTTTCACATGATTGGTAATAAGACCTTCCATTTCATTTTTTTTTGAGAGGAAGGCGTTTCCAAAACTGGTCTTCACCTTTAAGGAGAAATGGCTGGAAGAGGAAAGAAATAGGTCGAAGCACCGGTCAATTGATTTGCTGAGCCCGATCCGATCGTCATTCCGTGAAGATATAAGCGGATAAATCTAATTGGATAGTCGATCTCTTATTAAAAGTGTCTAGTACCGAGACAGATTATAGGTCTTGACTTCAGGGGGCCTGGGGGCACCTCCCCGGTCAGGCTGCGAATAGAAGGTAAAGAGGGATAGAAATAGATAGGGAGAGAGTGATAGAGAGAGAGAGAGACAGACAGAGAGAGAGAGAGCGAGATATAAAGAGAGGTGAGAAAGAAAAAGGTAGGTAGATAAATATATAGATAGATAAAGAAAAAGAGAGAAAAGAGGTCTAAGTATGTTGATGAAATGTATGTGAACGTGGCTATCGAAATGGGAGGGGGGAGAGTGTTTTTCTGGAAGGCACTGAAAACATGATTCTCCCATACAATTCCCCCTTTCGATAGCCGCGTTCTCTTGCAATTCACCAACATACTAGGACCCCCCCCCCCCCCGCCCCGCAGGAGTATCCCCTCAATGGCTTGACCCGTGATACGCCACCGAGCTTTACCATTGCCAAGGGCATGCTCTTTCTCAGACAGACATCTGTAATCACGATGCTTATATCTGCACGAGTTATTTTTTTCTGTAAGAAATTAGAAGCACAAAATAACTCTTTCTAAACGAAATAAATGCACTTAACAAATTGGATGTTTTTTCTTTTATCTTAGATCATTTCACATTTATTTCGTAATTTGTATATTAAGTTGTAAAATCTTTCAATAGAACCACCTCTGTAAGATATTTCATGTAAAATAAGAACATGGTAATTTACATGAAACGGAATATTTGAGAATTTCATCCATAATCGTACACATTTCGATTAATTTCCAAAAGTTCGTCCATTGTTTTACAAAAAACATTCTTTTCAATGCAAATCGAACAAACAGTGTAGTTTGGTATTCAAATCGTGAAATCAGATTAAACTACATATTTTTCACAAGTCATCTAAGTAGTTAATTGGCGATTTTGTTTAATGCACATGGTATTCTTTGTTCCAAATCAAGGGTTTCGATACCGAAGGTACCAAATGACGCCCTTTCAGTAGCAACTAATTACTGCATTTTAATGCTTTAACAAAAGAAGATATTCCCAGGACAACATAATACGTTGTAATACCTCATAATTAAATCGGCAATTTATATAGTCGTATAATCCTTGTATTCTATTACCTCATAATCAAGGTTTGAAAGCGACCCATTTGTTAGAAACTAAATCAATTTTCGGCAACAAAAAGATCACCATTGATATAATTATAGTTAAGATGCCTCATTAAAGTAATCTTCTCATTTCTTTTATCCCATAAACATACACCGATACCCTCAAAGCAATAAACCGATGTTAGAACCTCATCTGGAGGATCCCAGAAACAGAGAAAAAAAATCTACTCTTCAAAGTTTCACCTCTTCTCTTCTTTCTTTATTCGTCCGCTGTCGCCAATTCAATTTGTATTTTATTAGCGAACGGGACGGCGCGAAACTAATCTCCCTGATGAAATCTAATTTCCGTGACTTGTCAGGGAGAACACAATGATTTCAGGTCGCATCTTCAACCAAAAATGTCTCAGTTAAGGGTCGTGGTTTTATGGTTCGTCATACCACACGTGGATGGTTCCATCAATTTGGAGGGGATTGAAGGACTGATTTGATATCCATGGAAGCTTTAAATGAGTTTTTCGGAAGGTTTTGAGGGTGTATCGACAGGGATCAACCAGTTAATTACACGAATAGGGGGAGCGAGCACTCCTATCCTACGGCCTCCTACCCTATGGCCTCCTTAATGCAATGTATACACATTTTGGTAAGGCTTTAACATTTGCCGACAATTTCCTTTTATAATCAAAGTTGGTAAAATACTATTCATTCAAAGCTCTGTAAAAAATGTTTAACCTGCCGTGCAGCACGAAATACAAGGTGAGAATTATTAAGATACTCGGGACGTGGTGCGCAATACCTTTACGCAATTATTTGTAGTTCTGGTAATATCTATTAGCTTTCAGGTAAATAGCTTTTGATAAGTTGTCTATTTCGTTTCTAATCTTGCAGATAATTTTTTTGAGATTTGAAGTGTGCGATATCATTGATGAATAAAATAATACGTGAAATATAAACTTCGAAATGATAACCAAAATTGCAGTTTACATAATAGCACCAAACACAGCCGTCATGTCCATAACTTTTAGTTTGGAAGAAATTAATGAACAAAAGACAAACTATTCTTAAACGACAAAAATAAACATCAAGCCTCTTTAAGATAAACTAGAGAACCTAATGAACCTGTAATAAGTGTTTTTCCGGTTTCCACGGATGAAGACATACAATTAAATCAAGTACAGTGTTTAGGTTTAAGTCGTAATAAACAGGAATTGTGCAGCTTTGAACCTTTTAAGTAGACAACATACAATAAAATGTTTAAAGCTAGAAAAGCAGTAACCCGTACGTTTCAAGTTAGCCCAACTATCCTTCGTATCTGGCTCTAGCACTTCCTTTCTGGCTTTAGCACACGAAAGTTAAATTGCCAGCAATCCATCCATCCATCCATCCAACTAACCAACCAACTACCCAGCCAACTGTGCACTACGAATACAAAGAAAAGGTGCTATGTGGTCAGGATTATGGTCTAACGATTATTACCTTAAAATTACATTCGATGTGGGCATTCTGGCATTACCAAAAGACATTGAAGTAATGGTTATAACAGCTACAATATTCGATGCTAACAGTTTCGACACAATCAAATAATATTTGAAACATTCTCGAATGGTGTGTGTCAGAATCAATCAAGGTTAAGGTGGAAATTGGAAATGATATTATTTAATTTTCTCCAACTCTCTTTTTTACAAAACTGCTGCTCTCACTTCTTATCAATATATCTAGTTTTTCGTTCGTTTCATTTATTCAATCAATTTTACTATATGAATCGTGCCAATTCGGTATTATCACAAATGTACTGAACTTTTGGTAAAAAGGCAAGAGATTCAATTTTTTGTTTTACCTTCCCCTTGGGCCAACGGAATGATGCTCTTATATCAAGGTTCATTATGTAAACGGACTTAACTGGACTTCGTAACAATTTTGTGCTTCTCTTTATGTGTTTGACCTGACTGCTAAGAAAGCGTGTGGATGCTCGTAAGTCAGCAACCAGGGGACCAACGGCTTTAAGTCCTCTCTGAGAGACTTAGTAATAAGGATTAATGCCTTACTAAAGGGCACTTGCGCATCGTCTTGGTTTCGAACCCGGAACCTCCCGGTTACGAGACCACTGTTGTACCAATGAGCCATCGTGCCTCCTCTTTTGAATTATACAATTACTCTTATACAATTTAAGTACATCCCACCAACAAAGTAATCACCATATTATGCTTAATTACCAGGCGAACGCAATATAGAAACGTTGTAATCGACGCATTTGAATAATGGTTCAGGTTTGATGTTTTAGACATCAAATACCACTCAAGTTTCATTGCAGAGAGCTTTTTTCACCTATCGATAGTACTGCCCTGACCGTTAGTTCTCGACTTTGGACTTCCGTTCTTTTTTCTTTCAATTTTATGAAGACATATCTCAGATTTCCTGACCGAGTTCGGAGTTGGTGACGGAGTCGTTGTTGGAGGGGAGCTTCGAACACCGTTCCTCACAGTCTGGTACCCGCTACCCTGGAACCGCGAGACCTCGTTGCCATCGGGACCAGCGGTCATACCGGCGTAGTCATCACCGGAATCGCAGTTCTGCACCTGGATGATGCCACATAGAACAACTTTGAAGATGAGCTTATGGAACGTCCTCCTGAACTCACGGTTACTGAAAGCATACAAGATTGGGTTCATCGCTGAGTTTGCGTGCGATAAAATAATGGCGGTAAGAAGGATCGGGTAAGGGACCGGTTTCCATAGCAACGAAATACAATTAGTAATGTGAAGTGGTAGCCAGCTAATAGCGAATAGTAAAATGACGATGGCTAGAAGCTTCGCCGCGTTCCCCTCTTTTACAGCGAGCCGCGAACGTCTCCGAGACATGTCGTCCTGACTTCCTACGACTGTTCTAGATATTGCAGAGTACTGAATACGCACAACTTCGAAAATTTTCACATAGACAAAAAGCATCATGACTAATGGCGGCAAAACAAAGCCAAAGAAGTTAAAGTATACCATGTAGCGAAGATCTATGTGTTCGACAAAAATGCAGTAGCCATGTTCCGGTTCACCCATATTCCATCCGAATAGAGGGGTTAGTCCGATGATGAAGGCCAGGACCCACGTCGCGAGCAGGATCATGATGGCGCACTTGGAGGTCGCAACGCGTCTGTACTTGAATGGACGCGTCACGGCGAAGAACCGGTCCAGGGCCACTGCGAGTAGACCAAAGATGGAACTCTGCGTGAGAGCCACGACGAAAGAGTTCGTAAACAAGCACGCGTAGAAGTTGTTATGAGGAAGCCCTGCGTTCGTCGCCAGCGAGAACGGGATGGCAAACATCCCAACCATCATATCTGCGATGGCCAGGGATACGATGTAGTAGTTGGTGACGGAGCGAAGTCGTTTGTTGTAGTAGACGGCCCATATGACGAGGGCATTACCGAACGTCGCTGCGATGGCTATGGGAATCTCTGTCGCCATACCAGCGATGATGTACGGGGCCTCGGGCTTGTAGTCCGGTTCTGAGTCATTGAACGATTCAGACATTGTACATCCACACCATTAATGCTCAGAATAAAACATCAAGAATGATTAATTACTTCCCGCTATACACGCGCGAAAAATCTAGAATAAATCCGAAAACGTCTGATGGTGAAGCCTCCAACAGTTGGTTGTTGCGAAGTCGAAGTCTTACAGCTTCCTCGTCAACAGACGACTACACAAAATCAATAATTTCCAGTAATCCTCCGCAAGCAGACTGTGCTAATGGAGCTGATGACCCTACATGAACTCACACCCTGACATGTTTCATACAGGTGAGGAAACAGCGCCTTAAACACTAATTCTAAGATGAGTCCCACGATCCATAAGCAAACTTCAACCTTCTAATGGGTAGAACGTAATGATCACATACCGCGTTTTGAAGTTATGAAGTCGCGTTAAACACTGTTCAATAAACCGCTGGTGCTATCATCCCCGTCTAAAATCATTGGGAATCGAAATAGTCCAATTGTTTGTAAAGACTCTTTCTCAGACGCATGAGCCGTATCGGTGATACAATCACTCCTCTGCAAAGAACGCTGCGGAGGGCATCGTCATGGAAGAAATATAATAAACGGCCATGCAATAGCAGTGAAGCATGTCTGACCAAACGTTTGTTTTTTCTTATTCAATTCTAGTCAGATATATTCACACGAAGAGAGATTTAAGTTCGGCGATTGTTATCCTCACGGACGACGTAATAAATCATCAGATTTCCATCAACATGTCAAATGATCTACATGTAAACCTTTAATGTTACGGTATAACGTGTTGCATCTCTTCATTCGGTGAGCTAATACTTGATGAATGTATTCTTTGGATCTCCAGACATTTCCGCGTCCTGCATCTGTTGGTATCTTGGTGATTCTTGGCAGGTTGCTTCACGCAGGCTCTCTTGTCTCCCAGGCACCTGGAATCAAAATGAAACAGAAACAAAATATTGTCAACACATTAATAGACAAGTGTAATAAGTCATTTTTGTGCAATAAAAATGAAAACACTTCGTGCAAATTCCCAGAGATAACTGCCAATCAAAACACAGGAAACAAAAGAGTCGGTCATAGATATTTTTTCATTTTTGAAAGTAATCATATTTTCTTGAATACGGTCGCAAAGGCGTTGGAATATATTATCCTAAGGCAAGTTTGGTAGCACTGTGCGTCACGTATACAAAATATGTGTACATGGCACAATGGTAAAGCACATACTCGCAAGTGTGATTTCTATAGGCAAGATAATTGGATATGGAAACTTTCTTGAGAGCCTTTGAGAACATGTTCTTGCCGGGTGATCATTGGTTAAGCTTCATCGCAGAGTTGATGCTCTGTTTCTCTCTCTCCCTCTCTCCTCCCCCTTTCCCTCCCCCTTTTTTCTCTCTTACTCTCTTTCTCCCTTTTTATCCTACCCTCCCCCTCTCTCTCCATTACACTCCTTCTTCCCTGTGTGCGTGTTTGTGTGTGTGTTAGTGTGCGTGTCTCTCTATCTCCCATCCCTCTCCCATCCCTCTCCCTCCCCTCTCTCTCCCTTTCCCCCTCTCCCCTCCCCATCTCTCTCCCTCTCTCTCTCCATCCCCTTCTCCCCTCCCCCTCTCTCTCTCTCTCTCTCCCCGTCTCTCTCCATCTCCCTTCTTCCTCCCTCTCCTCCTCTCTCTCCCTCCCCCTCTCCCCTCCCCCCTCTCTCTCTCTCCCCGTCTCTCTCCACCCCCTTCTTTCTCCCTCTCCTCCTCTCTCCCCCTTCCTTTTTCAAACTAACCCCAGGGAGATTTAATTAACCGAATACTTTAATTTACAGCAAGGTGTGAGATAAATAACAAATTCAGATCGTCACCCGTCTCCCGTCGTAAAATGCAAATGTTAGCCAGAGTCATTATGCGTTCTTATCAATTCGTTATAGGAGCCGACGATATTATTCAGGTCATTGTAACAATACTCCAGGGTATATTTTGTTAACAGCTCGAGTAAAATGCAAATTTCTGTTTAAAACCAACAGACTGGATAAGACTTGTACGACTCTTAACCAACATACTGGGTGAGGCTGTTACACTCTCGTTGAGATGATCAATATTCCCCATCTCTGCAAATAATCTTCTTTCAACTATTAAATTCCTCTAGCATACACACAGTTTTATTTCTTTGAATATAAACACATAATCCAAATAAAAACAAAAAACATAAACACATACACATGATCGTAGAAGCAGTTATGAAGAACATAAAAACATGAAAGATTTCCACCATGTCACGAGCAGATGATACACAGTTATAGTTGAAAGATCTTAACACAAACAAAGATTAATTTTTACACCCCTCCCCCTCTCCCTTCTGCCCGACTCGACTTTTATATTAAAGCTAACACAGGAATACTATCGATATGATCAATTTGTTTAAGAACACTGTATACATGGTATACGACACATTATTTTATCGAACGCATGAATCACCTAATATCATTGTACGAAAGAAGTCTCTTGTTGCATTGATGTAAATATTTATCTTATTATCCAATAAACCTGTCACATTCCCGACACGAAATATCAAACCAAAACTCGGTCGTTCTAATTGACGCGGTAATGAAATAACGAGACTGTAATTAAATTTCCATAATTACCACGCAATGCACCATTTCTACCCTAGACAGCGTGCAAAATAGAAGTGCGTTATCATTACAAAGTAACGTCAGAATGCTTCCAGTTTTGGGGGCTACGATGCAATAACTTACCCTTTTAAATGTCGCCAATGAGCTAATTAGGGCATTGACGCTTGGAGGGGCGCAGCGCACCAGGGCTTGGCACAGAATTATAATGCTTTTATTTCCCTAAATTGTGTCATGGTGGAAATAAATGTATCGATGTAGACATTATGAGTCCAATGATCTCAATTCAATGACGCAATTTAGAATTTGGCGGAAACAAGCTAGGTGGTAAGTGGCGATACGGGAATTCTTTATTAAAAAAATGGACCGAGAATCGAAAGAATCCAAGCGGAGGTAAAACATCATTATCCGTAAGCTGCCAATTCTCATCACCAGAGGGAATAAAAGCAAGCAACCATTAGAGAGAACATATTTGCCATTATTATCCTCTTATGTTTACAAATTCCCAGTTTCCCGGATATGATGAATTTTAAATCCTCGAATTATAATGAAAGAAGATAATATATTCACTCTATGAATTGTGTTTGTATCAAAAGGAAAGACTCTCGGAAACGCAAGGCACATTAACTTTACAATCATAATGGGGCTATTATATCCATCCACAACTGAAAAAGATACTTCATTTTGGCTCAAACTGAAAGCGAATAAGATATACCAAACGAAATAATATCACCACTTGATTCATTATATTCCAGCATAGTTATCATTTTGATAGATGTATAGAACATAAAGTTACTCTTTTCTAAAGAATGTGCTAACATCATCAAAGCGTGTGTCGGAGATATAGAAGGGAGAATACATGGAAGAGAGAGAGAGAGAGAGAGAGAGAGAGAGAGAGAGAGAGCTACTCAGACAGAAAGAGAAAACAAGAAATAAAGAAAGGGAGATATCAAAACCATTAATTTGATGGAAATTGTTGCCATAGCAATGTATCTGTCATACAAAAATGCTATTAAACATATTAATGGCTGGCGAAAGGTATTCAGTTGTGCCATTCGCATGACAATTTTTTTCGAAATGGGTGTTGGTTGATGGTAGTTACCATCGTTACTATTCAAGCGAAAAGGGTCATAAAAGGTTTTTAGGAGCAATATTCCCTTTCAATTGTAATCGTTTACATTATGGATCAGTAAGGCGTTTTCATTGCCGCGGTGAATACCTACATGCCTTCCAATCCGTGGATATGCAGAGTGGTTTTGAAAATAGGCACTTTGAATTTGATAAGGCGCCAAGGGTAAATATTTCACAGCAAAATGTATAAATCCTCTTGCACCGGAGATAGATATATTTTAGATATATTTTGCATGTGAATATTTTACGCCGTAGAAGGTAAAATGCATAAAAATACACAACAGATGTGAAATACATAAAGACATGTAATACCTATTAGTTTAAAAATTAAATTGTATACATTTCTGAAAACATTCATCATGAGAATGCATGGATAAAGATAAATAATGAATGTAAGCTTTCAATTCATCATTTGTAATTACTCTATTCATATGATTTGGAAGGTAAAGTAACACTCAATTACCTATAACCATGGCAGGGTTTAATTTGATAATTTCAATCATGAAATCTCGAAATTTAGATATCAAGTGGGACTACCTTTCAGATGAATACCTATCAACTTATGATTGTATTTTATAGTCATTTATGCCCTAAAATAACGTAAAGCGGCAGTACAATTGAATTTCTAAAGCTTTCCTAGAATTTTAACCAGTCATCGCATCATCTGATTATGTGTATCAAGCAAATGATTTATTCACTAATTAAAACCTCACTATATTTAAATACCAATGAGATCAATTTTCCAGACGAGTGATATTTTGCGGCTAAATTAATACTTTCAATTCCATGCGTTTCGGTGCCCAACTAACGAAATTATCAAACAAATACAAAATTGCACCCCCCCAAACAAAAAATAAAAAAATAAAAATAGGTATCGATCAGTCGCAAGGTGTTTGTATGCAATGAGAAGGCTGTTCATGGTTTTCGTTCTGGTATTTGTTGGTTAAATATCAAGTGGAAACATTATTCTTTCCTGATATTTCATTTTGCGATGTCAGTAATACAATTTTACGCCTCTGTCTGACTATCTTCGAATTTCAGCAACACTTATAAATAACCACCACCGAACCAACATTGGCCGGCTCTGCCTTATTAGATAAATCTTTATTTCCTTTATACAAATAAATGAAGGTAATTTCAAATCCTTATTTATTATTTCCTCTGGCATGACTGCATAACAATCACGATACAACTAGGTCCGTTCCGTCATGCACTTAAAACGGAAAGAACATTTCCCACGCATTACGAAAATCGTTTGGGAATGTAATAATTGTAATAAATAAGCCAGCGAACCCCCAGAAAATCATTCAGTTGCGCTGTAATTGTTTCCTATCATGTCTAGTTTATATTGCCTCCACGCTTGTGAGTAATGGTCTGTAGTTATCCACAGGCCAATTGCAAATAAAAACGAATTAACCTGTCTCTGAATAATGAAACCGGTCAATTTCCAGTAATTACAGAGCGGCGATTTATTGAATGACATTGCGGTAGTTGATGATGATGGCCTACAAAGCGATGAACTGGGCTGGAGACCCATATTTTGCTTTCCTATTAACCTATCCCTCCTTTATTATAATCATTGCTGAATTTTACATGTTACGGTGTAACAAATATAGGTTATTTTGTTACGTGATAGCAACAAAAAAGAAACATTGACAAAATTCACCCCTCCCCCAAAAAACAAATCACCAAAAAAAAAAATTAAAAAAAAAAAAAAAAATCAAAATCAAAATAATTGTGTGACCTTCCTTAGATATTGCTTTATAGCTTAAGAGTGCAACCCGAATGTCAAAAATACCATTTGAAAATCACTTCGAAGTTGGAAAGATTATGGAAAGCAGCATCGTGTTACGACAATGGTATATGTGATTCTTTTCTAGTTAATCATCTTTGATAACATCAATTATTGTAGGAGTACTTGTATCCGATGTTACAAATATAATTCACATTATGATGTAACAGCAAATGGACAAGCGTGTGTCTTGATATTATTCAACTCAGGTTCACATTAATATTCTGTCGTAAATGTCCAACGTGCCCTTATAATCTTTTATTTTAAAAAGCGGCAAGGGAGAGATGGACTGAAAATGGATTATTTCGTGGCATTTTAACTCAATTTTAAGTCCTTAGTTCGCAAACAGACTTCCTAAGAGAGTTTTTAATTTCACAACCTGACACAAGAGTAAT